TCCTCCTGGTCCTTGCCCCCTCGCGATGCCTCCATGTGGTGTGGACACAGCACCACTGTCAGAGAGCAGGCAGAAGATTTAGCTAAAGTCCTTAGCAACACTATTTGGGAAAAGGTTTGTTTCGTATTATAATATTATCCTGAAAAATTGCTCATACTTTAGCATATAGTGCCTTATTTAATCCATATTGAAAAATTGGGGTCTCTGTTTTCCCTCTTATCTTGTAAACATTATATTCTTATTTCTTATGAATCCTGGGATCATAACTCTGGAGACAAGTAGGACACAGAAATGAAAAAATGGTGGAAATTCGAGCAGGGGTTTAAATGCACAGTTGAGGGTTGCTAGATACTACATATCTACAACTATCATCTACATGTTTAAATCCAAGAGTCACCACTCGTAAACAATATCCCGCCAATGATTAGCATGTGATCACACCACACTGTGCGTGGTGACTGCTCTGTTGTCTTGTGCAATGTTTCCATGTGCGCTAAGCCACACCCCAGCTGTGCATTTGTTCACTCGAGGTGACTGGTGAATGCGTGCAGCTACTAGACCTATTCAGTGTAAATTTAAAATTACAGTAATACAGCCCTGGCCGGTTTGGCTCAGTGGATAGAGCGTTGGCCTGCAGACCAAAGGGTCCCAGGTTTGATTCTGGTCAAGGGCATGTACCTTGGTTGCAGGCTCCTCCCCGGCCTGGGCCCTGGTTGAGGCTCATGCAGGAGGCAGCCAATCGATGTGTTTCTCTCATCGATGTTTCTCTCTGTCTTTCCCTCTCTCTAAAAAAACAATGGAAAAATGCCCTCGGGTGAGGAGTAAAAAATATAATAAAATTACAGTAATACATATAAAGTTTTTCATACATAATTTTAATTACACAAATGTGTCTACGTAATTAAAAACAGGTTAATTGGTCAATTTTTTAACGCACGCATTCAGAAAGCCTACTTTCAGCTTTAATGGACACCCCCTCGCCCGAATTAGTCCATCATATCGAGGTGTCACTGTGGCTCTATATGCTTTCCACAGGCTGCACTCCCACCAGCAGTGCAGAGGGCTCCCTTTCACCGCCTCCTCGCCGGCACTGGCTTGTGGATTTGTTGATGGTCGTCACTCTGACCGTTGTGAGGGGATATCTCATCGTGGTCTTAATTTGCATCTCTCTGATTAATGACGGTGAGTATCTTGTGTGTGTTGACCATCTGTATGTTCTCTTTGGAGAATTGTCTATTCCTGTCTTTTGCCCAGTTTTAAATTGGATTGTTTATTTTGGTGTTGAGTTTTATAATTTTATAAATTTTGGCTATTAATCCCTTATCAGATATATCATTGATACATATGTTCTCCCATTGTGGGTTGACTTTTCATTTTGTGGATGATTTCCTTTGCTGAGTAAAAACTCTTTAGTTTGATGCGTGCATTCCTGCCAGAAGCGCAGCGCACCTCTAGACCAGGCTGCCCAACCCGAATCCTGCTTTCCTAGAATCTGCGGAATAACCTCATCTCAGTGCTGGGGATGATGACCCAGATCTCACAGGACCGCTGTGAAGGTGAGAGCATGCACTCACAGCACGTGTTGTATGAAGTATGGAGGTTAGAGAAGAGTGTGTTTATGTAGAAGGAAATATGCAAGAACATGCATAGGCTTGGAACAAAAACTGGGCAGACTATATGCCAAGATTATCACAGTATTTATCTCTGGTTATGGGATTGGCAGATTAGGTTTTACCAAATGTTTTTCTGTGTGTAGCATCAATATAGTGCTTTTATAATTAGAAAGAAAAAAAAACTCTACTCAAAATTAACTGTCAAGTTTGGGCATTTGAGGCAGTGTTTAACCCTTTACATGTAACTTCTCAGGGACCTGGCCCTATGGAAGTTGGGAGCCAGGAGCCGAACTGAAGGGCTGGATTTGGGTTGAGACACTGCAACTTGAAGCTCCTTGGAGAGGCAGGTTCCCGGGCACAGTGCCCGCTGCAGCCCTGAGAGCACCGACGCCAGCAGCTCTGCTGGGCTCCTGCCCGAAGGCCTCCAAAGCAGTGGGAGCTGGGCCGCCGCGTCCCTCCAGAGAATCTAGTCCTGGGGACGCGAGTGTCTGCCTTTGGGTGTGGACAGGCGTGGTTGGCGCTTCAGCTACACTCCTGAGAGAGGCACTTAACCTCGTTTGAGTCCATTTCCTCACCTGTATAAAATGAGAAAGTCGTACTTTCAAGAATTATTGTAAAAATGTAAAGCTCGTTTGTGGAAATTGACAGAATAGTGTGCTATAGGAATTATTTTCCCTCTCTGAGCCTCAGTTCCCTCACCTTTAAAACGGGACATTAATACCTACTTCACCAATGACGGAAAGCCCGCCTGTCGGTAAGGCACCTACACTGAGGACCCTCTTCCACGTGAGAGCACAGCACGTTAGAGCTCCCTGTGCTCCTAGGACTAGCCTGGCAGTAGCAGGCAGTTTCCTTCTGGATGGGGGACTGGAGGTCCATCATGGGCCCGGCTCCAGAACTCTGCAGAAATGGGCAGGACCACAGACCTCTGGGGCCCTAGTCTGTACACACTCTTTCACGGACACTCCCACCTTTTGGAAGCCAAGGCTGCCTCTTGCAAAACACACATTCCACTCCTAAGTGCATCTGTGCATTTCCCCTCCCACACCCTCTGGACAGCCATGCCGAGCTGCCACGGCGGCTGCTGGAGAAGCGACACCTCGTTGGGGGGGAGGGCAATTCCAAGGGCGTTTACAGAACTCTTCTGTCCTCCTCACCATAGTGCGGTTGTTCAGGGCACTCGGCCACGGTCATCTCCCTTTCCTTTTGCACCCCTTTTTGTAAATAACCTCTTCCCTATTATAAGGAAACCCATTAATGAAGACTTGAAAAATACAAGTTAAAATCACACCTAGTCCCACCTGAGTTGACTGTCACTATTTTACCATTTTCTGTCATACTTTTCCATTATTCAAAAGCAGAGTTGTTAATAGCGGCCAATATTCCAACATGTTGACGTGCGCCCATTGCTAACCGCTCCCTATGCCGCTGAAGTGGATCCCGAGTGAGGCTGCCACTACATCTGCGCACCTGCATCTTTGGCACATACTGTATCGTGCAAAATCCCTAGAAGTGAAATTATTGGGTTAAAGAGTAGGGACATGTAAGGTTTTTTTGATTCCAGAAAAGTTTTTCATGGACATGTTTCAAATATTTGCCAATTCGATAAGCCAACAATAGTTTTCATCATAGGTTTACTTTCTGGGTTTTCTGAATACCCTTTAGATATGTATCTACGATTTGTTCCAGAAGCTTTTTGGCTGTTTTTCTTCAGTGAGTTATCAATATCCTTTGCCCATATTTTAGTTAAGTACTTTTCCATACTGAGTTTTTAAGGTGTAATGGATTGTGTCTATCTGTCAATTGCAAAAATGTTTCCAATTTGTTTTTTTAAGTTTTAGAAGTTTGTTCTTTTATGATTTCTTCTTTCCCTATTTTGCTTAGAAAGTCTTGATACAGAGATCAATTTAATACCCACTATCAAGTATATACATTTTTAAAGGTTAAACTTACTATGGCATATCTTTATTCCTCCTGGAATTTATTTTGGCTGTGATAACTTTTCCCCAAATATTTAGATTTTACCCAATTACCTATCTTTACTTACCCATTAAAACAAAATGCCTCCTTTATTATGTAAGTCCATGTATACAAGAGCCTGTGTCGTATTTTTCTTGTCTTGTCATACACTAGTTCCACATTATTCTGTAGCTTCATATTTTAATTTACTAGCAATTTCAGTAGCACCTCCCAAAATAAACACAGGCAGGGCCCATGGAGCGTCCCCATCAGCATGGGGATTACAAAACACTATCTTTAGATGCGTGGCTGCTGATGGCACTGCTGCCATATTCCACTAGGCCTTTCTAAAGTTCAACCCAGGGAAGGGCCTTATGGCTTTCCTAAGACAGGGCATCCTCAGGAATCAGAGCAAAGGAAAGGAAATGGAAGGATTGGCCTGGCTCCTGGCCTTCCCTTCCCTTCCCAGGCAGACCAACCCTTCTGGACCTAGAGCTAGAGAATGGCTTCCAGTCAGCCCAGGCATTGCTTTGGCTGGACTGAGGAGGGGCGCGGCCAGGGCACAGCGACTGATGGACTCTCAGCACCACTGCAGTGTGTGCTAGTGCGCCTTTCTTGCTAGAAAAAGCCCACTGCAGTTAAGCTCATCTGGTAATTGTGTGCAGAAGCTGCTTGCCATCACTGAACTGAAATGTGTATTTCAGCAACAACACTTTGAATAGCTCTGGGCTCTGTACAAGCACTTAATTTTTCACTTTATTCCCCACACCTCAATCTGTAAGGCCTGGTGTGTGTGTGGGGAGGAGGGGGGCATGTGCAGAAGACAGGAGCCCAAGAACGGAATGAGTACATGTTCTGGAGGTTTACTTTTCAAGTGAGGGGAAAACCACCCTCTACATTTCCTTCCAAACTCAACCTGGAGGAAAAATCCCAGCTCACTGAGAAAACTTCATAACCCTCTTCTTAGCTGGAGAGGACACGGCCCTGACTCCCAGCCCCTTTCCACCAGGAAGGAAAGGAAAAGCACTCTCATCCCACCACTGCACCTAACTGATTTTAGGAGATGCCAACAGGAGGCTGGCAGTCTTTGGGAAGGCCACTAGGGCCTCCTTATAAGTGAGGTGGCTGGCCCATCGCTTCCCTGAATATAAACAGGAACCAGACAGAAAACACACTGAAAGGAGGCGAAAGGCATGAGCAGTCTACCCTAATCAGACTCCTATGTAAGAGCCAGACAGGATCATCAGGAATCATGTTAGTCTAAGCCAGTGGTTCTCAACCTTCCTAATGCCGCGACCCTTTAATACAGTTCCTCATTTTGTGGTGACCCCCAATTTCATTGCTACAAATTGAACATAATTAAAGCATAGTGATTAATCACAAAAACAATATGTAATTATATGTGTTTTCTGATGGTCTTAGGCAACCCGTGAAAGGGTCGTTTGACCCCCAAAGGGGTCGCGACCCACAGGTTGAGAACCGCTGGTCTAAGCCTTCCATCTCCCCCAAATCTGGCAGAGGGGAGTCGGGCTATAAGGGGGCAGTGGCCTGGGAAAGGGCATGTGTGCCATGCCTACGCTCTCCTGGTCCTGGATTCCCTGATGACTCACCTGACATCCTTTCGGAAACCTTAGACTTACGTGTCTCAGGTGCTTTATAAACACTTCCTGTGTAAAGCCTAACACTAATGGAAATAACAGTCTTCTGATTTCACAGATGAGAAAAAGGAAACCGATTTCACTCACCAGCGGCACCTGGCAGTTCAGCTGGTCTCTTTTGCCTTAATCACTGCCAACCTGAGAGGTGGCAGCCACCCATTCAGCACAGAGCTCAAACTTACTTCTTATTCCTCATGGGAACCCAGCCATTTGCTGAGGTCAGACTTATTTAGGGAGTGGCCGTGAGGGCTCGTTTGCTTTTGCCTGAAATACTGGGACCCCAAAGGCAATTAAGCTTGGTGAGTGGGAGAGTCTGGGTCCTATACTATGTGGACTTTCCAAAGCATAGGAACTGCTATCCAATATCATGTTGGAAGAGCCTCTAGGGGGTAAATCTTGCCCAAGAATAAAGCCAGTTTTTTTATTGTTTTTTCCAGAACTGTCAAGTAAACAAATTTATTGAACGCAACAGCAGGTAACCTTCCAAATAAAAGACCATCAAAAGAAATAATGTAGACAAAGACAAAAAATGTGTGTAACAAGTTAATAAAAATATTCAGTGGGCCATTTGGAGAGCATAACAGTGCAGAGAATACAAACAAAAGTTTTGATTTCGGTCAACAAGTTTGTACAACCTCAAGAAACACACTCATCACAAACCAAGAGGAATCCACAAAGGTGGAGGGTCACGTGAGTAGTGGACTCATCACCTCAGCGGGGTAAGGCAGGGTGTCTGTAAGACCAACTCACCCAAGCCCCCTTTGCCTACTGCTTCAAATTCCCCCTTTGAAACCTAGAATCATTCATTAGTGCAACAGGTATGAGCAATTAATCCCAGACTCTGGGCTGGGACCAGGTCAGAGGGAAGACACTTCTCCCAGAATAAATGTGTGCTGGGGAACCCCAGCAGCTGAACGGCTTCCTTTGGCAATATCCAAGGCCTGTGCTGGAAGTGGGGAGGGAGTGGGCAGTGGAAGTGGGAAGTGCGAGAGTAGGCTGAGCTTCCGAGAGGAGCAGGGAGGATGTGATGCCCAGCACCTGATCTGAAACAGCACCTGATGGCCACTCAGAGCCATCGGAACCATCTTGGTTGCTGAACCAGAGCTCAAGCATGTTTTGTCCCTCAATATGGAAAACACCTCTAGAGCCTCCCTGACAGGCAGGCCAGTCCAGGTTACACTAAATAAATGCCACAATTACAGCTTCCCATAGGAATCAGCTGCAGGGAAGGGTGGGAACCCCCCAGTACGATTCAGAAAAACAGACTGGACGACGAGGGGGCAATTGCACATGTCCTCAGATGCGTCCCAAAGAACACTTGACAAATCACTATGTGATGACTGTGCAGAGTCCTTTCAGTTGGCATCCGTTACCAAGACGGTTAAGTCCTCACTAACCAGAGACGCAAGGAAAATGGAAACACAGGCAGCTAACAAAACCAACCTGGTAGCACTCCCTCCAGCTTCACCTTGTAATTGTGTAATTGGGTCTACTTCTGGGCTGCATTGCACTGAAGACACTTTCAGTGCAGCATACACACAGTGCTAAGTACAGATCTGCTTTCGTTTTTAAGCTTTTAGACCCAAGTCCTTATCCCAGTAACTTCCCACCTCTGTTTAACACAATTTGGCCTAGTCTAATATATGAGGCCACCTGAACTGTGGAGTCCCACTCCTGGGCGACCAGTACTGTTTCAAAGACCAACTAATACTGTGTGGCTTTGAAAACAATGCCTTGTACATCTTCAACTGGATTTCCTCGGGCCTGGGAGCTTGGTTGAAATTTGGATCTTCACTCAGCTCTAGATTTTTCTTACCAAAATTCGGTATGGAGTCTTGGAACCAGCTCATACAAGTGGGTGCATTCAGCATGGATGAGGGGGCACTGCTGAGGCCTCATTACAGGAGGCGGGATTAACGATATATTCAAATGTGTAGGGATGGGGAAGAGCAACTCAATGAAGTAACACCATCTCATATAGCTTTCTAATTGCTAAAGAAACGGCACAGAAGCTCACAAAACCATTTGCCAAAACCAGCTCATTTTAATTCAGTTTGTAGTCGCCCTCAGATATTTGCCTATTTTCAAAATGGCATCCGCATCCTGCCCTCTCCACACCCGCCCCCTGTTGGAGGGAAGGCTGCCCTGGCTTGGTTGAGGGGCCTGCATTTGGCCTCTTCCACACCATTCCTGCTTACTAATTAGCAAACCTATTTCTAGGGTAAGAGAAAGGGGTGTTTCATTTCCCAGAAGAGTAACAAGACCCCGCCCTCCCACCTCGGGTCCCTCTGCAGGAAGCCTGCTTCCTGTGGGCACGAGGGTGTCGAGCACCGGCCGAGCCACTAGAGAACTTCCCTCAGGGACACAAACTTGGAGGGAACTTGGAAGTCCCTCCCCGACTGCTCCCTTTTCTGGTTCTCATTTGCACTTTTGTAATAATTATCATTAAAAGTATAACTGAAAACTTTTTAAATGGTTCTTCAGTGGGCCTAGGGAAGCTGAACAATTAAAAACAAAACCCACCCGCTCTAGTCCACCTAACGTATGAGACGCCTTCTTGTCGGCTGGGGAGGAGCAGTCCTCCGGTCCTCAGGACCCTGGGCCCCCTCTCCTGTGCACTGGCCAGGACCCCTGCCCCCTCTACCCCATTCAGAACTGGGAAAAACAGGAGGTCGCAGACAGTTGGATGAGAAGGTGGTCTCTCAGGTTGGGCATCCTGACTACAACTGAACCCACAGAACCAGCTGGGGTCCCTAGAAACTATACAAGGATCTTGTGTCAGGCTAAAGGAAGGCAGGCACCTGGCCCGAGACCCTACCCTCTCCAGCTTTCCAGCAGTATTGCTGACCACCCACTCTCTAGAGGCAACAAACATCAAACTCCAATTACATTCCCTGTCAATGTCAATTTCAGAAAAACATCGACTGCAGAAACCCTTCAAATAACCATCTGTCAAGAGGGGAGTCTGAATCCGTAAGGGGAGTCAAGGACCTCGGAACAAGCACTTGCTGCCAGGCTGAGAAACGTGCCTGGAGGGAGGTGGGGCAGCCAGGGAGAACACGCCAAACGCTCCACGGACAAACTCGCTACCTCAAAAATATAAGTGTTTTATACGTTTATTTAAAAGATTCCCTTTTCCATCTGTTCCAAAGTTCCTGCCGCCACCCTTCCAGCACAGGCCGGGAGGACATGGTTTCAAGGGGAAAAGGACAAGCCCTCCACTGAAGCGAGGTAGGACAGTCAGCTCCTGGGCAGCGTCCAAAGCTGGCCTCAGGGAGCGAGCGCAGGAATCGGGCAACTGGGCCTCCCTCTTGTGAGGAAAGAGCTGAGAAAATTCATCTTCTCTTTAGTGACAATGGTCCACACTCAGATTCAGAAGCCTCCATCCTGATGTTCCCTGGCCCTCATCTCCCTCCTCTAGGGCCAGTTTTAGCAGGCAAACGGGAATATAGATACATATATGTGTACATATATATTTTAGATAGGTAAAATATATACATATCTTATACATGTACATATATATATTTGGGGGAGGGGAAGGAGGAGAGGGTAATGTAAACCTAAACAGTCATCACATCACCCCAATGAGCCTGACATGAACACAGATAATAAATAACGCCTGGGGTGAGTGACAACACGGCGCAGCAAGAGGGAAAGGGCACACGTTCACTATTAAATACACTCACGTTTGGCAGAGTTCAGGCCAGCCCCAGGCTTCTGCACTTGCCAGACAAGTAAGCTGATGATACTCAGAAATTCTCTAAGAAAGTATTCAAGCAGAGCTCCAAACCACAGTTTTCCTTCAAGTCCGGTGGCTGCAGGCAGTTTCCGACCACCAGGAACAGAAACTTTGGCTCCAAGGCAAATGAAAAAAAAAAAAAAAAAAAAAAAAAATTCCC